TCGAGATGCCACCCTCATTGTTGCCCCCACGCTGTGTCAGCCACGAGGAGCTCCAGCCGGGCCTCCCAGAAAGGTCGAGAGGCCTGGGCCGCTTCCCTTATGTGATCTAGGTGAGCTGGAAATGAACTTTTGCCCAGACAGGTTTTTATAGTATATTTTAAACATTTACACAGAACAAGTTAACACATACACTGCAGTGCTACTTAACTGTGCTATTCACAGGATAATTACATGGACCTGCCTTTCCCACGGCATAGAAAGTCCTGCTCCATTTCCTCTCTCTATTCTGGTAACTCCTTTCATCAGCTCATGTAATTCAGCTCCTCAGCTGTGAAGTTTTCGTTGACTTCCTCTTGAGGACGCTCTGAACTGATTGAAGCTATTGCATATTTTTATTATTGTGATTTTGGATTTGTGGTGCTGGTTTACCCTGGCCTGGGAACTCCTTAAGGAAGGGATCGTGTAAGCTTTTGCCTGCAATCCCGTCTCCTAGGAGCGGGCCTGGCAAAGCAGTGGACGCTAAATGAATCGGTGGAGGGACAGGGAGATGAGAGAGCTCTATCAAGAACAAAGTATTTAGCTCTGGCTGGGTGGCTCAGTTGGTTGGAGCATTGTTCTGTACACCAAAAGGTTGCAGGTTTGATTCCCAGTCAGGGCACATACCTGGGTTGCAGGTTCCATCCCTGGTTGGGGTGCATAGGGGAGGCAACAAATGTTTCTTTCTCACATAAATGTTTCTCTCTCCCCCACTTTTTCTTCTTTCTCTAAAATCAATAAACATATACTTGGGTGAGGATTTTAAAAAAAAGAAGAAGAACAAAGTGTTTTAACTGACAGCAAGGGTAGGAGCCCCAAGGCAGGAAGTGGTCTGGGAACTTTGCCCTGTGGGGCACGTGGCTGGAGAGCTGCATCTCCGGCCCCGCTCTTCTCTGGATCCCGACAGCCTTCCTCTCCAAGGCTCACCTTAGACATGGTGTCTGTCTGACCCTCGTCTTGTACAGTGGCACTTCTTTCCAGTGAAATCCCTCCCCACCTTCAAGTGCAGCTCAACAACTACCACCGCCTCTGGCAGCCGGACACTCCACAAAAGCTCAAGATCACAGGCATTTTCTCATTTGATCCTAATAACCATCCTATGGGTAGATATTATTACTTCACTTTTCACAGACCAAGAAACAGAGACCAGAGACTATTTCATGGATGAGAAAACTAAGGCCAGAAAGAGATTTCGCTAAAGTCTCGCAGTGAGATAAGTATAATTTTTTTAGTGTTATGAACACCCTTAGTTGTGACATGAAGGCTGCTTTGACTTAGAGTTGCCACATGAAAAGCAACAAAAGGCAGGAACTGGCTTTCCCCTCATGCTTTCTCTTCCCTTCCTCTTACTGATTTTAGAGAGACCCGCAACCTTGGCATATCAGGATGACGCTCTAACCAACTGAACTCCCCGGCCAGGGCCTCCTCCCTTCCTCTTAATATACAAAAACTGCGTCAGCAGTTTAGGAGCTGTGGTTGGCCATGTGTGGAAAGGAAGTCCAGGCTTTGGGTGTAAGTAGTTACAAGAGTGTCATCTGAGTGAGGAATCCATGTTGCAATCACCTCGCCACAGAGGCAGTGAAGGCAGATGTTACCCAGCTGGGAGTGAAGGAACCATCACAGCTCGCAAGCACGTCCTCAAAGCTTCGCAACAAAACTCACTGAGCACATATTCCAGGGCTGACAACACTGTCATTAGTGCCAATACTTTCCATTCCTGAGACCATGGCAGACATAGCCAATGGATCCAGGACTCCTTCCCAGCAAACCAGAGAAATAACCCATCTCAATGAAGCAATCCAGGCAACTGCAATCAATTAATTGGAGTGGGTGCATGCCATCAAACCTATTTAATATTTCATTTTATTGCATGCCAGGCCTGTTGCTGGGAGATATAAGGTGAATAAACATGGCTCCCGCTCTCAAGTCCAGAGGGGAGATGTGGGCATGGGTTGGGAGGAGACAAACCTGTACACACACATTTATAATCAGGTTAAGTATAAAATCGGGGTTAAATGTATGAACACATTATTGTGGAAACATATGACTAGACGGCTAATTCTTCCCAGAAGTATGACACAGGGGTGGGTCTTGAAGGATGATAAGAGTTGAATATGCCAAGCAAGGTGGGAAAGGTATTCCCAGCAGAGGGACTAACATATACTAATCTTGGGATCCAGGAAGCACTGAACAGGTTTAAGGAGAAAACCTATACCCAGAGTGGGAAGAAGCATTTTCCTGCATCTCCCTAAACCATAGATACATCATCATAAGGCTGTGGTGAGGGGTGAAAGTGGGACTCACACAGTGCCCGGTGACAAAGCCAGCTGCTACTGATGTCTCCAGAATACTAAGGGGCATGAAGCTGACCCTTAGCAATTGAGCCGGAATAGGTGTAAAGTAGAGGAACATCACTGGATTTAAAACACTTTTATATTTTCCATGATAAAAATACATGTTTATATCAGAAGAGTTGAAAATGTTTTTAAAAGAAAAAGAAGGAAAAAAAAATCTCACTCCCCCACCCAGACAGAACCTCTGTTAGTATCTGGCGCAGTGTCTTCTATCCTTCACTCCCCCCGATTCTTTTCCATACCTACACGCGTACCATATGAACAAAAAGTCCTCGGGGGTTTTTAAATTTTCAAATTTAAAGCGCCTCTTAATTATAGTATAGTTGCCATACAATATTTTATTAGTTTCAAGTGTACAACATAGTGATTTGACATTATGTAACTTACGAAGTGATCACCACAAGTCCAGTAACCATTAGTTACTGTACAAAGTTATTGCAATATTATTGACTGTATTCCCTATGCTGTACTTTACATCCCTGTGCCTTATTTATATTATAATGATAAGGTCGTACCTCTTAATCCTCTTCACCTTTTTGCCCACCCACCACCACTCAACCCCCTGGCAACTATCAGTTTGTTCTCTTTATCTATGAGTCTATTTGTTTTGTTCGTTGATTTATTTAGTTTTTTTAGATTCCACACATAAATGAAATTATACAGTATTTGTCTTTCTCTGACTTATTTCACTTAGCATAGTACCTTCTAGGTCCATACATATTGTTGCAAATGGCAAGATGTCATTCTTTTTCATGGCTGAATAATAAAAGTCCTCTGTTTCTTTTCACATAAAAGTTAATGACATAGCCCTGATCGGTGTGACTCACTGGGTTGGGCATCGTCCTCCAAAGCAAAGTGTTGCCACTTTGATTCCCGGTTGGGGCACATGCCTGGGTTGTGGGTTCAGTCCCTTGTCAGGGAGGAGTCAGGGCACATAGGAGAGGCAACCAATTGATGTTTCTCTCTCACATCTGTTACTCTCTCTTTCTTCCTCCCTTCTCCTTTTTCTAAAAATAAATTAATAAAATCTTTTAAAATATTAAAAAATGACAAGCAGTTTTCTATATTATTACGATCTCTTTGAATATATCATCTTAATGGCTAACATCCATTGAATGGATCTATTATAATTTATTCCACCATTTCCCTCTGGCCTACATTTATTTATTTATTTATTTATTTATTTATTTATTTATTTGCTATTGTCAGTAATGTGGTGGAGACCATCTTGGCACATAAGGCTTTTCTCTGTAATTCAGATTATTTCCCTAGGATAGAGAATCAAAGGAATTAGAGTACTTAAGTCTTTAAAAAATTTTCTTTATTGTAGTTCAATTACAGTTGTCCCCCAATTACTCTCCCCTGCCCTACCCGCTCCCCACCTCCCACCTTCAATCCTCCCCAGCCCCGTCTTTGTCCATGGGTCCTCTATACATGTTCCTTGACTTGACCCTTCCCCTTCTCTTCTGGTAACTTAAGGATTTTGATGCAATGTTACCAAACTGTTTCCTGCAAGGTAGGTTGACACTCCCTCAATAATATGTGTTTGACTCAAGCCCTTACCAGGCTCACTTAAAACTAAATCTCTTCTAATATGTTGGCCACAAAGAACAAAAGCAAAGGCACGTTTGCTTTATTTAGCATTTCCTTTATTATTTAGAAGTGGGAGAAGAGCTCACATGTGAGTCTCCTACTCAGTTCTGTGTTACCACTTCTCAGTGCTTAGTTTTTTTATGTGGTTGTTGATGGATGGGGGAGAGATCTTAAGTTGTTATCACATAGAATTAAAATATTAACCTTTTGTCATATTTTAAAGGACTATTTTGTTATTTGTCTTTTAACTTAGGTTTCTAATTCTGAGGGAGTTAAATTTACAGATCTTTTACTTTTCAGTCACTTATTTCCTTTAAGGATTTGAAAGGGCAGAAATGTTTAGCTCCTCCTGGATAAAGTCACCTCTCTCTCTGGACCTCAATTTCCTCTTCTTTTAAAAGGGACGGCAGGCAGGCAAAGACGTAATCTCTCGGCTTTCTTCTAGGTATAGATTCTTGCACTCTGGACTCCACAGGTAGCTCCACAAAGGCAACCTCTTCTTGTGCTCTGAGGCTCCAGCCAGGAAATCCTTTCTCCTTGAGGGGTTCATTTATTCATTCAACTACCACCCTCTGAACATCTACCATGTGCCAGGCATTTTTCTAGGTAGTGGGAATGTAGTAGTGAAGAAAACAAAGACCCTGCTATAACATAGATATCTGGGAGAAGAGCACTCCCGTTAGAGGGAACGGCAGACACAGAGACCCTGAGGCAGGAGACTGTTGGAGAAGTTGCAGGGGGAGCCAGGAGGCCACGGTAGCCAGTGGGCCGAAGTAGGGAAGTGAGTGAGAGAAGGCACACGGTCTTAGGGCTGTCCTAATGACTCGGCTTTCACTGCATTAAATGGAAACCACTGGATGGTTTTGAGCAGAGCCATGACCTGATCACAGCTAGGTTTTAAAGGAGTTAGAAGTAGCCTCTAATCTAGTGGGCTCCACTCTGGGATGAGCCACAGCCATTTCCAGCTGACTGACCCTGGCCTTATCTCTCTTAGTCTTAGTTCTTTATTTCTTTTTTTAAAATACGGAACGCTTCACGGATTTGTGTGTCATCCTTGTGCAGGGCCCATGCTAATCTTCTCTGTATCATTCCAATTTTAGTATATGTGCTGCCAAAGCAAGTGCTCAATCTTAGCTCTTTTAAAAAAAAAAAAAATCCTCACTGGAGGAGCTCTAGCCGGTGTGGCTCAGTGGATTGAGCACCAGACTGCAAAGCAAAGGGTCACCAGTTCGATTCCTAGTGTAGGGCACATGCCTGGGTTGCAGGCCAGCAGGAGGGGGCGTGCTAGATGCAACCACACATTGATGTTTCTCTCCCTCTCTTTCTCCCTCCCTTCCCTTATCTAAAAATAAATAAATAAAATCTTTAAAAAAAATTCCTCACTGAAGGTCACACTCATTGATGAGAGAGAGAGAGAGAGAGAGAGAGAGAGAGAGAGATGGATGGAGAGAAACATCAATTGGTTGCCTCCTTCCTATACATGCCCCAACAGGGAATGGAGCCTGCAACCTTCTGGCATAGGACAACGCTCCAACCAACTGAGCCACCTGGCTGGGGCTCAGTCTTAGTTCTTTAGGAAATACTTCTAAGATTTCAGTGGGGTACCGTTCCCTTACTGTAGCTGACCTAACTGGGCCAAACTTTTGTGTAGGTAGTGGAGAGGGGAGGGAACCAACCCAAAGTCTCTTGCATTTAATGTGGAATTTCCTATTTCTAGGAAAACCACAGGGTGGCAGTGGTCCTTTGGGGGTAGAGGCCATCACTCAGTCCACCAGTAAAGAGCCAGCATCTACTTAACCTGAGCCTGGAACACTTTCTGACTCAGGGGAGGTGGGGGATTGTCAAAAAGCCAGCAACAAGGTCAAACACAGCCGTGGTGGCCAGAAATGGAGCCCCCAACACCACTAGAATTAGGGCCCGTCTCCAGAAATCCATTCAGCTGTCCTGTTGCCAGGGATGGTGACCAGCCACTCCTGGCTCTGCCCCTCTCAGACCAGGCCCAAGCCTCTGAATTAACACCCTGGAGTCCCACAGCTCCTCTCCTTAAAGCACTTGCCACAGTTGAAATCTTACATGGATTAGTAGGATTCTTTGAGGTCTCTCCCTCAGCATTCTAGAAACTACAGGGCCTGGTAAAGCCTTTCTGTTTCCTTCACTGCTGTGTTCCCAGATGTTCCCCATCATGGTCCCTGACACACAGAGGGAACTCCATAAATGCACTGAATGAGAAAATGAGGAAGAAAGATAATGCTGTTCCCTTTTACAGTCAATAAAACAGGCCCAGGCAGGAGGTCTGACTGCCTTCTGGCCCAGTTCCTAGAGTAGGAGCTCCCAGAAACATAGGGCTACCCTAAGCAGCCTCCAAGGGCCTCGGCCCTCTCCTCCTCCTCTGCCTCTCCTTCTCCGCTTCTCCGAGGGCATCTCAGAGCCAGATTCCAGCCCCAAAGCAACACTAATTTCCTAGGAAAAGATCCTAGGGCAGGAGCGGAGCAAGTGACAGCCTATTAATAACAAAAATAGCACTTACAATGTACCAGACACCGTTCTTCTTCCACAGCATCTCTTTGAGGCAGGTTCTATTAGCATCTCCATTTTTAAAGATGACGAAACAGAGGCAAGGGTGGTAAATGTCTGTCCAAGATACTGGCAGAGACTATGTAATGGAACAGAGGCAGTAAACAAAGCTCGAGGGTACACTCTAACCTACTCTGAGTTACACCGGGGAACATCAGCAGAAGTATCAGAAGTCATGTGATTTTTCACTCGGGATTTGAGGGCCCCCTGTCCTTGTTATCTCATCCCGATTGGGATCATTCATAGTGGCTAGCCTGTAGGGCTGCTGGGAGATTAAAGCACACAGTTTAGGACAGTGCCCAGTACACAGCGAACGATCAATACATGTTAAATACTGATATTCTCGTTAATGGTCTGAGTGTTTTTGAGCCTGAGAAGGAGGACTACACAGTTTACACGCGAGGTCACCTTGTGATCTAAACCCCCGCCCTCGCCTGCCCAGACAGGGCGGGGGGAGAGAATGAGCGGGACAGAGGCCTTCAACCAGCCCCGGTTGGACTTTAAAAGGGAGGCCTTGCGCAGGCGCAGAAAGCCGCGTCGTCTGGCTCGCGCCAGCACTGCCCCGCACGCGCATGGAGCGGCGCGAGAGCTCCCCGGGCGAACCCCGCGTCCACCGCGCGCCTGGAGTGCTGTTTCGCGGCCCCGTAGAGCCGCTCATCTTTCTTGCCAACTTCGCCTTGGTCCTGCAGGGCCCGCTCACCACGCAATACCTCTGGTACCGCTTCAGTACCGACCTCGGCTACAATGGCACCCACGACAGAGGTGGCTGCAGCAACCACAGCGTGAACCCCACTGTGCAGGTAGCGGCGGCGCGGCGCGGCGAGGAGCGCAGAGAGCCTGGCAGGGAGCCGGCCCTGGGCTAAGGCTTGGGGACAGCTGCGGGGCGGGGCGGGGCGGGGCGGGCGTGAACCTGGAGCCCCCTAGGGGGTTATGGGTATTGGGTGGTGGGCCTGACCGAGATGTGCAGTATGTGGATGTGTCAAGTTACTCCAGCCTGGAGAGTTAACGAAAGGGGCTAAAAGTTAGGGACGAGACCTAGGACCAGTTCCCATAACTCTATTCCAGTGCCAGGGTTTGAGAGTTGCACTCAAATTCTCTAAGGTTTAGGGCTCCAAGGAAAGCCCTCATCCCAGTACCTGCCAGGATGGTGGTGGTTTGGCGGGGAGGGGGGTGAGGGGACACCCACAGTGAGGAAGAACACTCTGGTATGACTCATGCTCCCACAGGAAGTGGAGACCCTTACCTCCCACTGGACGCTCTACACGAATGTGGGCGGCTTCCTGGTGGGGCTCTTCTCGTCCACCCTGCTGGGTGCCTGGAGTGACTGTGTGGGCCGTCGCCCGCTGCTGGTGCTGGCCTCGCTGGGCCTGTTGGTCCAGGCTGTGGTGTCCATCTTTGTGGTGCAGCTGCAGCTACATGTTGGCTACTTCGTGCTGGGCCGCATCCTTTGTGCCCTCCTTGGCGACTTCAGTGGCCTCCTGGCTGCTAGCTTTGCCTCCGTGGCAGATGTCAGCTCCCACCACAGCCGAACCATCCGAATGGCCCTGCTGGAAGCATGCATCGGGGTGGCAGGGATGCTGGCGAGCCTCCTTGGGGGCCACTGGCTCCACGCCCAGGGTTATGCCAACCCCTTCTGGTTGGCCTTGGCCTTGCTGATATTCACGGCTTTCTACGCTGCTTTCTGCTTTGGTGAGACATTGAAGGAGCCAACACCTGCCCGGCTCTTCACACTTCATCACCATCGATCCATTGTCCAGCTCTACGTGACTCCAGCCCCGCGGAAGTCCAGGAAGCATTTAGCCCTGTACTCACTGGTCATCTTTGTGGTGATCACTGTGCACTTTGGGGCCCAGGACATCCTGACCATCTATGAGCTGAGCAGACCCCTCTGCTGGGACTCCAAGCTGATAGGCTACGGTTCTGCAGCTAGGCACCTCCCGTATTTCACCAGCCTGCTGGGCCTGCGGCTTCTGCAATCCTGCCTGGACGACACCTGGGTGGCAGAGATTGGCTTGGCGTTTAACATCCTGGGGATGGTGGTCTTTGCATTTGCCACCAGCACACCCCTTATGTTCACAGGTAATGTGTGTGGGCTCAGGGAGAGTTTGTCCCAGAGGCGCTGGGTGAGAATTGAGGGCCAGCCACTTGCTGGTTTATGCCTTTGGAAACATTATGTTCCTAGCCTGCATTGGAAGGAAGACAAGTAAGAAACTCAGAAAAATGGCACCCTTGTTACACAGAAAATATAAAACTTCAATAGTCAAAGTAATCCACATTAACAATCATAAATATTATTAGTAAGATAGAGCAGCAGACAAAAGTATGGCTCATACACTAATTGCTTCAATCCTTGGCCTCCCGCAGCCTATATTCATGGTATTTAGACAAAGTCCATGCTGTTAATGTCTTAATACTCACTGCTCTGATAATCGCAGGACCTACCTCAAATATCCTTGGTCAGCTTCTTTGGTTTTTAGAAAATCTAGTCTTCTCATACCACAGAAAATTAAATTCCTGTTTGCGTTAGTTCTTCCCTTTTCTGGTGGGAGAGGGGAAGCTGGGGGTGAGGAAATTAGCTTTTTTAAAGGGATAGAATTATTTTGATAAAGCTCTAAACTATGTTGTGTACAGTCAGCCATTCAGTAATCATAGATTTATTAATTTGGCTGCTTGCCTGGACAGGGAGGCTGAAGGGGACCAGGTACCTTTCTCCCCTGCCCCCAGCGTCTCCCATGGACTTGGTGCTGCGTTCAGAGGCCTCGGGTGCAGAGATGATAAAGATGCTGTCACACTCTGGGGAGCCTCAGCAGAGTGGGGTTTGGGGGCCTCACACCTGAAGGGCCCTGGCGCCTCATCATATACCCACTTAGGAGGATCCACTGTCCTCTAAGGCAGCGATTTTCAATCTTTCTTTTACTCTCATGGCACACATAAACTAATTACTAAAATTCTGTGACACACCAAAAAATATATACTTTTTGCCGATCTGACCAAAAAACTAGGTATAATTGTGATTCATTCACACTGGACAGCTATTGTTGTATTGGCCGCTGTCATTGTTTAATTTGACAATCTTAGGGAAAAGAGGTCAGTGCCTTTGACTAAATAGTCAGGTAGTGCATGTTTTAAAAATTCTTGTGGCGCACACTGCTTTAGGGGTTTGCCATTTTCCTGAGGAGGCAGTAGTCACAAAAGGGAAAGAAGTGGTTATGAAGGAAATAGTAACAAAATGCTAAGTGAAAAGGAATGCGCATTCACTGTGTGCTTGCTATGTGGTGCTCTTCACAGGTGTTTTCTGATGTATCTATTTTCTAGGGCTGCTGTCACAGATGACCACAAATTTGGTGGGTTAAAACAGCAGAAATGTATTTTCTCACAGTTCTGGAGGCAAGATGTCAAAAATCTATATCACTGGTCCAAAATCAAGGCATCAACAGGGCCATGTTCCTTTCAGAGGTTCTAGAAGGGAATCTTTCTCACCTCTCCCAGCTCCTGGGGGCTGCCAGCATTCCTTGGCTTCTGACTGCATCACTGTGATCTCTGCCTCTGTGGTCACCTTGCCTTCTCCTCGGTTCTATGTCAAATTTTCCTTTGGGTTTCTTATAAGGAATCATTTAGAACCCAGCCTGATACTCCAGGATAATCTCATCTCCAGATCCTTAACTTGATCACATCTACGAAGACCCACTTTCGGAATAAGGCAACATTTACAGATCGCAGGGATTAGGATCTGCTACCTTGGGCCATTATTCAGTCTCTTACTCCCTAGAACCATCCTGTGGTAAAGGCCTTATTATCTTCTTACAGGTGGGAGTCAGGTCTAAAAGCACACAGAGAGTAAACAATGGCATCCGGTTTTGAACTCGGGGCTGCCTCCAAAGTCCATGCTTGTTTTCTGTGCCCTGTCATCCCCCTACTATGTGGGTGATACTTGCTAGGACCACCAGAGGTGTTATGACAAGAACGTCTTTGGTGGGGAATCAGTGTTCAATCACAAAAGATGTAGCAGGTAGGCCAACGCTTGAGAAGGGCAGTCTCCATTCCTCCTTAGTCACTGTCTTCCTCACCATCAAAGAAGTCCGTTCTGTGTCTAGCCTGAGTCCCCCCAGGGGTACGTGCAGGAGCTCTGCCGCGTCTTGCTTGGACAGCCCTCTCCCTGACCCCATTTCCCTGATGATTGTTTCTTCACAGGGTACGGGCTCCTCTTCCTGTCACTGGTGATTACACCCATTGTCCGGGCCAAGCTCTCCAAGCTGGTGAGCACGTCCGAGCAGGGTAAGTGCCATGGCCAACCGGCACCTGGTTCCTTATGCTCCGTGTTCCCTGGACAGATTGCGCAGGGCTGGCAGGGGACCGCAGTGCCTTGGAGGTTCAGACCACAGAGTTGGAATTTGCAGTTAGCAGAGCATACAATATTGTTCTTTTGGGGAACCAAAGCAGAAGATTTGCCCTCTCCAGACCTCAGCTTTTCCATCTATATAATGGAAGAGGTGATGCCAGAAGTTGCTGCTTCACTAGGGTCAGAACGTATAAGCTCAGAGGGAGGGAACAACCTTGCGACGCAGGGTTCGTTGTCCATAAGTGACAGATGAGGAACCGGAGGCCTGGAGGGTTAAATGGATTCACCCGAGGTCACTCAGTAAGTGGTGGAGCTAGGATGCAAACCCAGGTCTGTTTTACGAGCAGCAGGCCTTAGGGTCTGGATTTTAGTCCTGGCCCTGTCACCTACTGGCTGTGTTATCTTAGGCAGGCCCTTCCCCCTCCCTGGGCCTGTTTCCTCGTCTGTACATGACTGGTTTGCTCTCAATGTCATCTGCAGGCCCTTCCAGTCACACAGTTGAATGTTCTGCTGGTCTGTCTATAAAAAATAGCTTTTCTCAGGCTTCTGGGTCTTTAGACCCCAATCTGGAAACATCTGGCTCATCCACTTCTCCCCGTCCGCCCTGAAAGGAGGATCTGGTGCCAAGTAGAGCGCACTGTCAGTTTTGTTGTCCCCAGGACCTGGGGGCTTTCATTCATTCACCCAATAAGCCTTTTATCTGGCACTTCCACTGTGCCCACAGGTGCCAGGGGAACAAAAAAGAAGGACAGCCCTCACTAACTGGCTTCCTCCAGGGGCCAGGCCCTGTGATAGGGGCTATAGATGGGGATTGAATGTTGCCAACCATCTATGAAATAGGTAGCATCCTTATTTAATAGAGGGGGCACAAAAAACCAGAAGGAGAAGTGACTTGTTCAGTGACCACACAGCTAGTAAGTGTTGGAACTGGGAATTGACCCCACAACTAATCTCAGACAGGAGATGATTCTCAAGAGGAGAAACCAAAAACCATTTTTCTCAGGCTTTGGCTGAAAGATGTCACATGTACTTTTAATACATGGCTTCCATAACAGCCATTTGTTTCCTAGCCCCTGCATGCCAGCTGCTTTCCATGCAGGACCTCACTGAATCCTTATCACAGCACATGATGTAGGCGAGGCAGGTGACACCCTGAGAGATTAAGCTGTTAGGTAGTGGCTTCTGGATTTGAACCCAGGCCTTTCAGGCTCCACAGCGTGATGCTTATTTCTCCACAGGTGCTCTCTTTTCTGCTGTGGCCTGTGTGAATGGCTTGGCCATGCTGATGGCCTCCAGCATCTTCAACTCGCTCTACCCTGCCACCTTGAACTTCATGAAGGGGTTCCCCTTCCTCCTGGGAGCTGGCCTGCTCTTCATCCCTGCCATTCTGATCGGGTAACGCAGGACTCGGACCCACGCTCATATGCCCTTTATCCCAAAAGTTTCTTCTTCCTCTTTCTCCTCCCAACCAGAAATGGCTGCCTCATTCCTGGAACCCTTCCTGTGGGGGTGTTTCAGTCCCAGCCTGACTGTCCCCTTGCAGGCGGCCCGGTCCTCTGGGAGCCATTTCCCGAGGGCAGGGCAGAGGGGCAGCAGGGGAGGGTCAGGCTAACACTGCTTCTTAGCAAGGCTGTTCTCTGCCCCTTATCCTCCTCCATTGGCATTTTATAGATGGAACTATGGTGACAGAAAGGTGCTAAAGGGAAGCCCAGAGAGCTTCGTTGGCTAGTTGTGGCTGGGCCACAGGCCAGCCTGCCCTGCTCACTTCTTCCCCCATAGCCTTAAGAGTCACTTTCCAGAGCCCTCTTCCCTGGACACTGTCTACCACCTCCACCTTGGGAGGGAGATACCTACGCGAGCCCATCCAATAAAGCCTGTGTCACTTCTGCAGGAGTCGAGGGTCCCCTGTGTCCAATCTAAACCCTGTCTCTGGTCCCTCACAGGACACTGGGGAAGGCTGATCCGCACTCTGAATACCAGTAGCTTCCCCAGAGCCCCTGATCTGCCTGGACCTGAGGACAGAGCGCCAGAGGAGCCAAGTGAACGCTGATCACCTGGAAGCGTGCGCCTGGGACCCCACCCACAGCAGCACCAGCAGCTCCCCTCAAGGGGAGCGTTCACCCTGGATAAGGTGGTCTCGCTAGACCCGGGCGCCCACCTCATCCATGGCTGTGCCAGCCTGCGACTCGAGCATTGTAACCCGGTCTGACTCCAGGGCAGGCAGCGGGGGAGCCATTGGGACAGGGGTCTGTTTACCCTTCATGCCATCAATCACATAAAGCCCTCCAGGGCAGAGGAGACCTCCTGATGGAGGTGATGCCTGAGGGGCCAGTTGAAGCATGAGGGCTGGCGCCTCTGCTTCCAACCAAAACCACACCGCTCATGGTGGGCGGCCACCCGTCACTCCTTCACGGCGGGCACCGTCGCGGGAGGAGGGCGTGTGGGAATGGGGGGACAGTGCGAGTGACGTGGTGGACTCAACCCCCGGGCTCTGCAGTACCAGTCATAATAATAAAGCAGGATAAGCACACTGGAATGAATCTTCCGGCACCCGTGGCGTGGGGCCGCGCGGCCCTCTATTTTCCTGTTCCCGGTTTGCCCGCCACAGGTCACACAGGCAGCTGCTGGGCTGAGCAGAAGCCCCTGAGCTGCCATGGGATTGGTACTGGGCTTGGCCAGCCCGGACCTCATCTGACCTCCCATTCTCTTCTCCTGAGCTGCTGGGAGGCGAAAGGCTGCCAGACTTGCATCAAGCCAAGCAGAGAGCCTGGTTGCCCCTTCCTGAGGGTCCGTCAGAGATCGGCTCCCTGAAGGCACCGTGCTAGTCTGGCTGCAACAGCCCAGGCAGAATCAGTTGTTACCACTCAGCCCTCCGACACCTCCCATCGCCAGGTAGTTCAGCATTTCATCAGGGCCTTGTGCTCAGACCATCCTTCGTGCGTCTGTACATAAGTCAACAGGACCCTGGAGACTGGCCTGACCCCCATAATCCAGGAGTCCGTTTTCCAGAGAATGAGTGGCCATTTCTAGGCCATAATAAAAGCCTGGGCCTGAAGTTGAAAGGCGAAATCGGATTCAGCAGTAAGGCATTGTCTTTGATGTGGGCCATAAGCCTCCAAGCAGACTCAAATCAGGTGGTACTTGCCTCTTCAAGCCAGAATTGGCCAGAGAGCTCAGCCCCATACCGCCCGTTCTACCCCATTCTCTCGCCAGCCCTGCCAGCCGGTTTTCTCAGCAACGTCCGAAACTGTCAGACGATCGTGGTTGGACAACCCTGGATTAGATCATCTGAGACCATTCCCACCTCATACACTCTAAAGTGGGATGCCTCTCTTCCTGGGCCTGAGGAAGGATAACAGAGTTGGAGCTGGACTTTTCTTTTTCTTTTTTTAATCCTCACCTGAGGACATTTTTTTTCACTGCTTTTAGAGAGGGAGAGGAAGTGAGAGAGAGGAAGAGAAACATCAATGCAAGGGAGAAACACCAATTGTTCGCCTCCTGTACACACCCCCAAGTGGGAATCGAACCTGCACCCTTTTGGTTACAGGCCAGTGCTTCCTCCAGCCGAGCGGCACTGGCCAGGGCAGAGCTGGACTTTTGATCTTTGAGTGTCCCTGAGCAGTTCTCGGCCCCTGGGGCGGGGTGGGGTGAGGTGGGGTAGGGACCTAGCTGACTCAGCCTGGACCTGGGGGCAGGGGCTCCAGTCCAGCCACGCAGGAAACCCTGGCCCTGCCAACCTGTGTCAGAGCGGGCTTTGGGGGAAAGGCTATTTCTCAGCCGTTTCAGGACCAGCCCCGTGAGGCTGAGTCTAGGTGGACGGTGAGGGCCAAAGTGCCTGATCTGGGCAGTTTGTCACCACAGGGAGGCAGTCCCCAGAACACACCGGCCGGGCTGCGGGAGGGTCATCACTTAAGCTGCTGCGGAGGGGAGGGGAGAAGCTGAGCGCCGATTCCCCAGAGAGACGGGAAGGGTAACAGTGGCGGGCGTTCCAAATGGAAAAACGGGGCTGGGGAGCTCTCCGAATACTGTCGGTGGGGGAACCTCGGGAGGGAGTAGGATTGAGGACAGAAAGCTTCCCCTGGAGGATATTTGTCACACCGTATTGTTATTTGCTCTGTGAGGGCAGCGTCCAGTCTGCCTCAGGCACCGTCATATCCAGGGCCTGGCACTGGCGGGCACTCTGGTGGTACGAAGGAAGAAGTGCAGTCAAAGCCCGAGCTGGAGCTAGGACCAGCTAAACAGTATCTTTGGCAGGGATGGGGGTGGAAGCAAGAAGTCCCATGCCTGGAGTGAGATCTTTGACTTCCTGACTTTTTGGCTCAAGAGCCGAGAGGGGCAGGGCCAGCACCTGCAGGAGGCCCTCTGGGAGCTGAGCCGGCCTCGAGATGGGAACCACTGCTCTCAGGAGGGAAGAGGAGGGCCGATTAGCCCGTGCCTTCCCACCCTCCTGGGGGAAGGGGCAGAGGGATGGTCCCGCTCATTTATTTCTGCGTAGCTCCTGGGCCAAGAACCTTTCCCTACTTCTAGATTCTTTGGGGTGAAGAAGAAGCCAGCAGTGTATGGAGCAGCAGCCCAGCCCGGTCACAGCCTCCAAGGATGAGTCTCAGGAAAGCAGCCCCACCAGCTGTGGGCTGAGCACCAGGAGGCTGGGGCTGGATCCTGGGCTGCCACTCAAGACTTAGAAAGTGGCACATCCTTTGATTCCTCTGTAAATGGAGATGATACCGGGTAGGGTTGCTCTGACGATGATTACAGAGGCCACGGAGTAGGGCGCTGGGGACGTGGCGGAGGTCTGTGAGGGATTTGTACTTCAGAGTCTTGCTACTTAAAGCGTCATTTCTTGACCATCAGCACTGGCTCACCTGGGAATCCGAGAAAAGTGGACATTCAGGCCCCACCCCAGGTCTCCTGAATGGAACTTTAAACAAAATTCCCAGGTGATCTGAATGTACCCCCTGCCCTTCTTCAGGACATTGCCTCTTCCAAGGAGCTGCAGGCCCTGCCCAGGCTACTGCTGGCAGGGGAAGCCAGCTGGGACAGGTGGGGCAGGAGCCTGAGGCACAACGGCAGGGTATGGGCAGGGTGGCTAGGGGCCCTTGGAGATGGCCTCTCCTGCCCAGGCCCAAGCGGGAAGCTCCGTGCACCAGTGAGTACTTCAAACCCAGCCGCAGCTGCAAACCGGCCAGAGTGAGGGCTGGCTCAGCCCAGCCCTGCCCCTGGAGGTGGCAAAAGAGGCTGTACCTCAGGAAGGCTGGAAGGGCACTTGGGACCAGACCAGGCCAGCTAAGTGCACCGAGTGATTGCAGGGCAAGGGGACCAGGCAGAGCCTAGGTGGAGAGCCATCACTGGACTCTCATCGTTGCTGGTCCCCAGGCCCAGACCCTTGCTTGGCCGAGAGGGCTGGGCATCGCCTTCATTCCTGTCAGAGGCTGCCTGCCTTGCCCCTGCCGAAGCTGCTAACGTCGGGGCAGGGGAGAGGGCAGTGAGCAGCACCCCCTGGCTCTTCAGTGCCTCCAGAATTGACCAGCGACCCTCCCGCCTGAGACAGAGGACCTGGTGGCAGGGCTTAGGGGCGGTCTAACCCTGACCGGCCCCAATGCCTAGCTTCCCTTCCCTTTCCAGATACTGAGGAAGCTGGGTTTGAGGTGGCCCGTGACGGTCTGGAGAGGGAGAGCCATTTCCTGAGAAGGGCCCAGGCTGTCTCAGCCCAGGGAGCCCGGTGTGCGGAGCTGCTCCTTCTAGGGAGACAATGGAAAGGGGGTCATGGCAGGACTTGGGAACTAGGGACTGGTTAGGTCGGGCCCATGGGTGCTGCACCCTCCAAACTGGTGTCGGAGCCCGCAGACGAGTCCTGGGAGGAGCGGCCCTGCAGGAAGCGGATAATCTTCTCAATGGTGGCCTCCTGGTACTCGTGGGACCACCTGTGGGCACAGACGCCGGTGGGTCAGAGGGCCGGGCAGCGGGAGCTGCTGGCTGGGGGGGCCTGCGTGCCCACCCATCCACCGCCCCTCACTTGATGCCATTGAAGGTGAGCACGGCCTGCATGTCCTCGGGTAGGGCCTGGGGCTCTGGCCACTCGAAGCCATCGATGATGGGCACGATGTTCTTGCCGCAGCTCAAAGCAGTCACGATCTCCTGGAGAAAGAAGGAAGGAGGCAGACCAGGGTCCCCAACCAGGCACCTTAGGGCGAGGCAGACACTGCGGGGGCCAACAACAGCCTGAGGCTGAGCCCGGGTGAGGTACTGATACTAAAGCCCATCGTTGACTTCTCCCTCACCCTATGTGGTATAATGAAAAAGTTAAATATTTGGTCTTTGTCCTAGGTTCTTGGCACAGAGCTCTTAAAGCTCCAGATGGCTGGGGTGGGAGGTATCTAGATACTTCAGGATGGGGACTGGTCGAAGGAAAGACCATGCTCTGATTAGGGGGTTGGAACCTCAAGCCCCCCCCGCCCCGACACACACACACCCTCATACCCAGGGAAAGGAGAAGGGCTGGAGAGTTCAGTCACCAGTGGCCAATGACTTAATCATGCCCACAAAAATGAAACCTCCACATAGAACCCTAAAAGCGGGGTGGGTTGGTGAACACACCTGGGCTCTGCGAGAGTGGCCCGGAGACGGCTCGGCAGCCTGTCCTCTCCTGCCTGCGTCCCCGCCCCATACCCGGCCCTCGTATCTTTTATACACAGGGGTCCGGCACAGATGACAGCCCTGTTTACTACAAAATCTTTTATTACAAAATCATAAGCATGTAATTCTGTAGCATAACAATATCACACTCAAGCACACCATATGACATTTTTGGTGAAATGTTCAAATTGAAAGTACAAATTATTGCAGGCCAAGTCCCCAGTGCAGGGTACACGAGAGGCAACCACACATTGATGTTTCCCTCTCTTTCTCCCTTCCTTCCCCTGTCTAAAAATAAATAAAATCTTTAAAAAAATTATTACACCCATATTATTACCCTACCAACCACATTCAAGCAGGCATTACTT